GACTGAGCGGGCAGTGCCCCGCGGTGGAGCAGACTGAGCGGGCAGTGTCCCGCCGTGGAGCAGATTGAGCGGGCAGTGTCCTGCATTGGAGCAGACTGAGAGGGCAGTGTCCCGCGGTGGAGCAGACTGAGCAGGCAGTGTCCCGCGATGCGGACTGAGTGGGCACCGTCCCGCAGTGGAGCAGACTGAGCAGGCAGTGCCCCGCGGTGGAGCAGACTGAGCGGGCAGTGTCCCGCGGTGGAGCAGACTGAGCGGGCAGTGTCCCGCGGTGGAGCAGATTGAGCGGGCAGTGTCCCGCGGTGGAGCAGACTGAGTGGGCAGAGTCCCGCGGTGGAGCGGATTGAGCGGGCAGTGTCCCGCGGTGGAGCAGATTGAGCGGGCAGTGTCCCGCGGTGGAGCAGTCTGAGCGGGCAGAGTTCCGCGGTGGAGCAGATTGAGCGGGCAGTGTCCCGCAGTGGAGCAGACTGAGCGGGCAGTGTCCCGCGGTGGAGCGGACTGAGCGGGCAGTGTCCCGCAGAGCAGACTGAGTGGGCATTGTCCCTCGGCTGAATAGCGTGAGTGGGCTGGGCCCTGTGCTGGAACAAGCATGTGCCGAGACCCCTGGCAGCGGGGAGCGAACAGGCGATTCTCCGAGCAGCAGCGGATCAAGGCCTTGATAGACAACGGCATGCGGGTGCAGTACGGCCTCGTGCTCCGGGGCCTGCAAACACAGGCAGGAACTTTAGTACTTCTGGGCACTTATTACCATTTTCACTGTTTCATACTAATCTATATTCTTCTCTCACTCTGTAACAACACTATGTTAGTTTACTCTGTCAGACTTATACCGAGGTACTTGAACCTAAGATGGCGCCATTAAAGGCAGCCACTGTGGAAACTTTCCCTGTAATACTGTACTGGAGTACATGTGACAATAATGGATATTCTGATTCTGATTCTGAGTAGACTGATGGGGCGGTAATTGGCCGGGTTGGATTTGTCCTGCGTTTTGTGAACAGGACATACTTGGGCAATTTTCCACATTGTCAGTTAGATACCAGTGTTGTAACTGTGCTGGAACAGCTTGGCTCGGGGAGCAGCAAGTTCTGGAGCAATGATGTCCAGTGCTATAGACTGGATGAGCTAAGCACCAAATTTGAGCTTTGAACAAAGGCAGTGATTAAGGTTGCAGGAGATAATGTGAAAGAGGGAGAGAGATAACAAACAAAATAATGCTCAGTTAATGGAAAATATATTGTGAAATGGGTAGAGGGGTGCTGTGGGTTTGCTTATTAACTTGCCAGATGTTTTTCACTTCAAGTGGTTGGACTCTGGGTACTCTGACTAAATGTCAGTGAAGGAGACATGGTATACTGTATTTTAGCTGATGCTGTGTCTCAGGAACTAGAACAGAGATCTCAGAATACTTAAAAGCAAAAATGCTACAATCATCACATCACTGCTTCAGATACTAAGGATAATTAAGAGTATGGTTACCAGACAGTGTTCATTAATATACTTCACCAATCCCTCATCACTCCAGCACACAGAACCAGCGTGCGCTGGCAGATCAGCCTCTTCAGTTTGGGTTCTGTGTTTAGCTGTATAACTTGCACTCCCTAGCTGAGATCTGTTGACTCCATCTGATGGATTAGATAATAACCGTGATGGCTCTTGAGCTGGCAGCGTTCCCACTAACAAGTACTCCACCCAATCACCATTCCTGCTGCTGGAGTGACTATTATCATTCACCAATTCACAATAGAAGGCTTCGACTCAGATGCGAGATTCCATACAATACAATTCCATACAAACAGCAGGATCAGGCAGTGATCCCAGGTCTAAAGGTCCCACCTATCCATGGGATGTTATTCAGTTGTCTGAACAATAACTACTTTCATGTATAATGCTCCTTTAATCTCATGAAAGCAGATACAATTGTAACTTTGAAAATGGAACTGGATAAGTCCTGAAGGGTGAAGGAGAATGAGCAGGAAAGTGCTGACACAGACACAATGGGGAAAATGACCTAGCCTCGCAGAAATTGGCTTCAATGAACCAGTCACACACTGAAATGAGTGGTCGAGCAAAATGTGTAGATAACAGTGGAAGTCTGTGCAGGAATATAGATAGTCTAAGTGAGTGGGCAAGGGTCTGGCAGATGGAGTACAATGTTAGTAAATGTGAGGTCATCCATTTTGGTAGGAAAAACAGCAAAATGGACTATTTAAATGGTGAAAAATTGCAGCACTTTTTAAAAATTCACTTTTTGGATGTGGGTGTCACTGGCTGGCCAGTGTTTCTTGCCTGTCTTTAGTTGTCGTTGAGAAGGTGGTGGTGAGCGGGCTTCTTGAAACGCTGCAGTCCTCCTGCTGTGGGTTGACCCACAATGTCATTAGGGAGGGAATTCCAGAACTTTGGACCAGTGACAGCGAAGGAACAGCGATACATTTCCACGGTGGCTCAGTGGTTAGCACTGCAGCCTCCCAGCGCCAGGGACCTGGGTTCAATTCTAATCTCGGGCGACTGTCTGTGTGGAGTTTGCACATTCTGCCCGTGTCTGCGTGGGTTTCCTCCGGGTGCTCCAGTTTCCTCCCACAGTCCAAGGATGTGCAGGTTAGGTGGATTGGCCATGCTAAATTGCCCGTAGTGTTCAGAGGTGTGTAGATTAAGCGGGTTATAGGAGGATGGGTCTGAATGGGATGCTCTGAGGGTTGGTGTGGACTTGTTGGGCCGAAAGGCCTGTTTCCACACTGTAGGGATTCTATGATCTAAGTCAGGATGGTGAGTGGTTTGGAGGGGAACCTGCTCCCATGTATCTGCTGCCCTTGTCCTTCCATCTAGAAGTGGTCATGGGTTTGGAAGGTGCTGTCTGAGGATCTTTGGTGAATTTCTGCAGTGCATCTTGTAGATAGTACACACTGCTGCTACTGAGCGTCGGTGGTGAAGGGAGTGGATGTTTGTGGATGTGGTGCCAATCAAGTGGCTGCTTTGTCCTGGATGGTGTCAAGCTTCTTGAGTGTTGTTGGGGCTGCACCCATTCAGGCAAGTGGGGAGTATTCCATCACACTCCTGACTTGTGCCTTGTAGATGGTGGACAGTCTTTGGGGAGTCAGGAGGTGAGTTACTCGCTGCAGTATTTCTTGCCTCTAACCTGCTCTTGTAGCCACTGTGTTTATGTGGTGAGTCCAGTTGAATTTCTAGTCAATGATAACCCACAAGATATTGATAGTGGGGGATTCAGTGATGGTGACACCATTGAATGCTAAAGGTTGGTGGTAAGATTGTGTCTTGTTGGTGATGGTCATAGCCTGCCGCCGTGTAAAGGGACGTGGGTGCCCTCATGCATGAATCGCAAAAAGTTGGTTTGCAGGTGTAGCAGGTAATTAAGAAGGCAAATGGAATATTGTCCTTCATTGCTAGAAGGATTGAGTTTCAAAACAGGAAGGTTATGCTACAGCTGTATAGAGTGCTGGTGAGGTCACACCTACAGTACTGTGTACAGTTTTGATGTCCTTACTTGAGAAAGGATGTACCGACATTGGAGGGGGTGCAGAGGAGATTCACTAGGTTGATTCCAGAATTGAGAGGGTTGGCTTACAAAGACAGATTGAGTAGACTGGAACTATACTCATTGGAATTTAGAAGAATGAGGGAGCATCTTATTGAAACATATAAAATTATGAAGGGAATAGGTAAGATAGAAGCAGGGAGGTTGTATCCACTGATGGATGAAACTAGAACGAGAGTGCATAGCCCCAGAATAAGGGGAAGCTGATTTAGGACTGAATTAAGGAGGAACTTCTTCACCCAAAGGGATGTGAATCTGTGGAATTCCCTGCCCAGTGAGGAAGTGAGGCTACCTCATTAAATATTTTTGAAGAAAAAATAGAAAGAGTTTTGAACAGGAAAGGAATTAAGGTTTACGGTGAGTGGGCAGATCAGTGAAGCTGAGTCCACGAGAAGATCAGCCATGATTTTATTGAACAGTGGAGCAGGCTCAAAGGGCCAGATGGCCTACTCCTGCTCCTCTTCCTTATGTTCTCCAAACAGGAGAGAGGTATCAACCTCCATCTTGGCTCCAGGAAAAGTGCTGGTAAACAGGACAAGGTGACTCAAACTGTCTCTGTCCTCAATCAGGCAAAATGATCTTCCTGGTGCCTTGCTTCAACATCCACATTAAGGTTCTATCTGAAATTGGGATCTTCCATCCACCCACCATGGGGAAAGCCGGGTTGTCAAAACTTGGTACCTGTTAGGGAGAGTCCAAACAGCGCTGAGTTGGTGCACTTACTGAATCTCAGCTGCTCTCTTCTTCTGTCCTGCCATCACTAACACAGACTTTATGGACCTCATTCCAAAGTCATAGTGATCCTGTTGGGACAGGAAAAGAGGATGGGTTCAGAGAGAGAAACTTCAGACAACTGTAAATTGATCACACTTTTAACATAATAAAATAACCTAAGTTGTTTCACAGTTGCATTTTCAAAATATTCCAATTGGATTTAAACATCGTTGGCTGGGTTTACAAAACTAATACCTGAACAGCGAAAGCTTCAGCCTTATCATTCAGCCTTATCTTTTGAACTGATGTGCTGTTCTCTTCCATCATTGAGGATGGGGATATTTGTGGAGCCTCCTCCTCCAGTGAGTTGTTTAATTGTCCCCCACCATTCACAACTGGATGTGGCAGAACTGCAGAGCTTAGATCTGATCCGTTGTTTGTGGGATTGCTTAGCTCTGTCGATCACTTACTGCTTTCGCTGTTTGGTGTGCAAGTAATCCTGTTTGGTGGCTTCACCAGGTTGATACCTCATCTTCAGGTATGCCTGGTGCTGCTCCTGGCATGTCCTCCTGCACTCTCCATTGAGCCAGGGTCGATCCCCTGGCTTGATGGTTAACACAGTTCGGAGGAAGAGTCACCAGACCCGAAACGTTATCACTGATTTTTTCTTCACAGATGCTGCCAGACCTGCTGAGCTTTTCCAGCAACTTCTGTTTTTGTTGCATTCAGAGTCTTACTCCATCTTCAGGAGTTAGTGAGAGAGGTACTATCAGACACAGATTTTATAAGTAAAAGATCAAAGGGTCACACCACTTATGAGATAACACAGCATGGAGCTGGAGGAACACAGCAGGACAGACAGCATCAGAGGAGCAGGAAAATTGATGTTTTGGGTCCTGCTCCACTGATGCTGCCTGGCCTGCTGTGTTCCTCCAGCTCCACGCTGTGTTATCTGACTCCAGCATCTGCAGTTCTTACTATCTCTGAGTGAGTTATAAAACCACTTATGAGTATGTACTAAACAAAACTAAGATGCTGTCAAATCTTTAATCAGTTAGAAGGTTTTAACTGATTAATGTGTATATGTAAATCCTCAAATTCTTTTGAAGTCACTGTTCTGAGAAAACTAAAGGTTTTATCAGTGTAAAGAAGAGGTGACATTTTAGGTCAGACAATGCATGTTAGGTGCGAGGCCTTGCTTAGAATCTGTTTGTGTTTTGGTTTGGAGTCAGACGGGTTTTATTTCTAAAGTAGGAATTTATAAAACGCCACATTGACTGTCTCTAAATTGTGTTATTTTTGAACAAAATAGAATGTATCCGCAAATGCAAATTCACCCCATTGATTCACATATGTGTGTGTGTGTGTGTGTGTGCGCGTGTGTTTGTGTGTGTGAGGGACAGTGTGTGCGCGTGTGTGCGAGTGAGGGAGAGCGAGTGTGTGCTAGATCTGTGCGAAGTCTGTCCCATTTAGCACAGTGAAAGTGCCACACAACACGGAGGTTGTTCTCAACGTGAAGGCAGGACTTTGTCTCCACAAGGACTGTGCGATGGTCACTCTTACCAATACTGTCATGGACAGATGCAACTGCAGCTGGAAGATTAGTGGTATGTTTTTCCCTAACTAATCTAAAAAACAAACCTGCCCTTATTCAGTCCATGTCCCTCTATTCCCTCCATATTCATGTAACCATCCAGGTGCCTCTTAAATGTCACCAACGTGCCTGCTTCCACCACCTCCTTTGGCAGTGCATTCCAGGCTCCTACCACTCTCTCTGTGTGAAAATCTTTCCTCGCACATCTCCCTTAAACATTCCCCCTCTCACTTTGAACCAGTGCTCCCTTGTAATTGAAACTTCAACACTAGGAAAAAGCCTCTGACTATATCCACCTTATCTAGGACTCTCATAATTTTGTAGTCCTCTATCAGGTCTCTTCTCAGCTGCCGTCTCTCCGGTGAAAACAATCCTAGTCTTTTTAATCTTTCCTCATAGCCAATATCCTCCAGACTAGGCAACATCTAGTGAACGTTCTCTGCACTCTCTCCAAAGCTTTAATGTCCTTCTGGTAATGTAGTGACCAAAACTGCACACAATGCTCCAAATGCTGCCTAACAAAGGTTTTATAGTTGCAACATGGTTTTGCCAACTCTTGTACTCCATGCCCTGGGCGATGAAAGTAAGCGTGCCATATGCCTTCTTAATCACCTTGGCCACCTGTGTTGCCACTTTTAGGGAACTGTGGACCTGCACACCCAGACCCATCTGTATGTTAATGTTCCTAAGGGTTCTGCCAACTTACAGTACAATTCACACCTAAATTTGATCCTCCAAAATGCATCACCTCACATTTGTCTGGATTAAACTCCATCTGCCATTTCTGTGCCCAAGTCGCCAATCTATCTATATGCTGTTGTATCCTTTCACAATTGTTGGCAATCTCAGCAACTCCACCAATCTTTGTATCATCTGCAAATTTACTAATCAGACCACCCAGATCATTTATACATACTACAAACAACACAGGACCCAAGACTGATCCCTGAGGAACACTACTAGTTACCAGTCTCCATTCTGAAAAACACCCTTCCACCACTACCCTCTGTCTTCTCTGACCAAACTAGGTTTATATCCATCTAGCCAGCCCACCCCGAATCCCATGTGATTTTAGTTTTCGTACCAATCTGCCATGTGGGACTTTATCAAATGCCTCAGATATTCACCATATCTATGCCCCTCATGATGTTATAAACATCAATAAGGTCACCCCTCAACCTCCCCCGCAGCAGTGAAAGAAGTCCTAGCCTATTCTTATAACTTAACTCATCCATCCCCAGCAACATCCTGGTAAATCTTTTCTGAATCCTCCTCAACTTAATAACATCCTTCCCATAACTGGGTGACCAGAACCGCACACAAAACTCCAGAAGAGGCCTCACCAATGTCCTGTACAACCTCAATGTGATGTCCCAACTCCTTTACTCAAAGGTCTGAGCAATGAAGGCAGACGTGCTAAATGCCTTTTTAAATATTCTGTCTACCTGTGATGCAAATTTCAAAGAATTATGTAGCTGAACCCTTAGGTCTCTCTATTCTACAGTACTACCCGGGGCTCTGCCATTAATCGCGTAGGTCCTGCCCTGATTTGTTTTACCAAAATGCAATACTTCCCATTAATCCAAATTAAACTCCACTTGCTACTCCTCAGCCCTTTGACCCAATTAATCAAAATCCCTTTATAATCTTAGAATACCTTCTTCAATGTTCACTATACCACCAAGTTTGGTGTCATCTGCAAACTTACTAACCATACTTTTTACATCCTCATCCAAATTGTTTATATAAATGGCAAACAAAAGTGGTCACAGGACCCCAGTCCAAAAAATGATCCTCTTCCACCACCCTCTGTCTCCTACCATCAAGCCAATTTTGTAGCCAATTGCCAAGCTTTCCCACAAGAGCAAGGAAGATTTACCGCAGTTATAAGAGCACACTTGGAGTACAATGTGCAGCTTTAGTCTCTTACCACATAAAAAACATACTGTGATTGAGGGAGTGTAGCGAAGGTTCACCAGACAGATTCTTGGGATGGCAGGTTTGTTGTACGTTGAGAGACTGGGTTGATTGTGCCTACATTCACTGGAGTTTAGAGGAATGAGAGGGAACTCATTGAAACATATCAAATCCTGACCATGCTAGACAGACTGGATGGAAAGGTGATGTTTCTCCCAACTAGGGGTACCCGAATAAAGAGTCATGGTGTCAGGATACACAGTTGGCCTTTTTTGACTGAGATGAGGAGAAATTTCTTCACTCATAGCGTGGTAAATTTGTGGAATTCTCAATCACTAAAGGCTGTGGACTTAAAGTCACTGAATATATTGAAGACAGAAATAGATTCCTAGAAGCTAAAGACATCAGGGGTATGGGGAGAGAACTGGAGTGTGGCATTGAGATAGAAGATCAGCCATGATAAGACCATAAGACCACAAGGTATACAGGCAGAATTAAGCCATTTAGCCCATCAAGTCTGCTCCGCTATTTGATCATGGCTGATATCTTTCACAATTTCATTCTCTAGCCTTCTCCCCATAACCCTTGATCCCCTGACTAATCAAGAACCTATCTCAAAACTGAAGGAACTGTGGATGCTGGAAATCTATCCATCTCTGTCTTAAATACACTCAATGACTTGGTCTCCACAACCTTCTGCGACAATGAGTTCCACCAACTCTCCACACTCTGGCTGAAGAAATACCTCCTCAAATCAGTTCAAAAGGGCCATCCCTTCACTCTGAGGCTGTGCTCTTGAGTCCTAATCTCTCCTACTAGTGGAAACGTCTCCACACCCACTCTAACCAGGTATCTTAGTATTCTAGAAAATTCAATCAGATCCCACCTATCCTGCTAAACTGTATTGAGTACAGGCCCAGAGTCCTGTATTGCTCCTCATATGACAAGCCCTTCATCCCTGGGATTATTCTTGTAAACCGCTTCTGGATCCCCTCCAATGCCAACACATTCTACCTTAGGAACGGGGACCAAAACTGCTCATAATATTCCAAATGAGGTTTGACCAGAATCTTATACAGCTTTAGCAGTCTTTCTCTATTCTTGTATTTTAGCACTCCTGAAATGATTTGATTGGATTTATTATCATCACATGTACTGTGATACAGCAAAAAGTATTGGTTTGCGTGCTATCTAGACAAACCATACCTTACATAAGCACATTAGAGTATTCAAACAATATGCACAATATAGAGTTACAGCTATAGAGACGGTGCAGAGAAAGATCAACTCTAATATATGAAAGGTCCATTCATAACTCTGATAACAGTGGAGAAGAAGCTTTTCTTGAATCTGTGGTAAGTGTTTTCAAATGTTTGTATCTCCTTCCTGATGGAAGAGGGTAGAAGAGAGTATAAGCAGGGTGGGAGAGGTCTTTGATTCTGTTAGCTGCTTTCCCAAGGCAACGGGAAGTATAGACGGAGTCAAAGGAAGGAAGGCTGGTTTGTGTGATGGACTGGGCTGTGTTCACAACGCTATGTAATTACCTGCAGTATTAGGCACAGCAGTTGCCAAACCAAG